GCCCGATTTCTTAACCGCGAAACAAACAATACCTTATAGAGATGTTTTAGAAATTATTTAGTTATGAATAATATAATATTAATAGGAAATTACTCATTGGTATAGTATTACGAATATTTGAGATTAAAAATTAGTTTGTGATGAAATCTGTGAAGTGGCAAAAAAAGAATAGCTGAATTTCCGTAGGTAAATATTTTTGTTATTAAATTTTCAAACTTAATAATGACGTCTTTAAAACGAATAATATAAAAATATTATTTCAAGAATTAAGACTTAATTTAAAAATGACAAAAGTTATAGTTATTCGCCTATTCGTCTTCTATCTAACTCCGGTTAATATAATTATTTTTGAATACGATGATTTATCAGTGAATCCTGACAGTTTTTGTTTTAACTATTTATTTAACAGTTTGGGTTGTTTTATACAATACACAATTAATTTTAAAAAATATGCCTATACAATAACAAGCTATTGCAGTTTATCTATGTTAAAATTATTAAAATTAAACATAATTATATGATTGATGATATTATTATACATTTGTTAAATTTAAATAATCAAAAACGTTTTAATTCACTCCATGAATTTCATAAAAGATTTAAATAATAATTTTAGTAAAATAAACTTTTGTTTTCTTAAAACTAAAATCTAAAAATATTTTAGTCTGTTAAATATAAGATATAAGGTTATTTATTTAAACATTTGTCTTCAAAAAATAATAAATGTATATATTTTTATTTGTAACTTTATTTGTAAAGAAAATAATACTATAAATAGAGTTTTAAAATACCTAGTGTTTTTTATTTTTTTGTTTGTATGTTTTGGTATGTATTTTTATGTACCTACCTACCTACCACTTTGTGTTTGAAATATAATGAAAACTGAAGATTAATGAATACATGATAAAAAAAATATCATCATAGTAATTATTAGGTGCCTAGATGAAAAATTCTACGATATATAATAACATTGTAAATTGTAATAACTATTTAAAATACATAGACAATTTTAAATTTAGATTGATGTATTCAATCAAAAAATAAATTAAATCGTTGATGACAGATGAAAATAGTGAAAACTCTATTTTGATTGTATTGTAATTAAATTGCAATACATTTTGTTGTACGTAGAATGCATTAAACTTAATATTATAATATAATATTTTTATAAGTATAATTTTATTTGGATTTTGAATGAAAATATAAATGTTTACTACACCATGAAAATATTAGTTATTATAATGAATTAAGAGCGTGCAGGTTTTTTTTTTTACTTTCATCAGGAACATATTTTTAAATTTGAATTGACTTCTAATTAATTTTCAATTTAATAATATTTAATATT